TATTTGTTAATACAATTTTCATATAATTTTGGGCCAAGTCAGAGTCAATTGTTTATAATTTTCAACAAATTATTTTTAATATTCATTGTTTGGTCAACATGAAGCTATAAAAACAATTGAAAAGTTGCAACTTTTACTCGTTGAGTACCTAGTGTCTCTTCCTCTCTCTGTTACCCTCTCTCTCCCTCGTAGATTTCATTGTATCTACAGTCTCTGCTCGTGTGTATATATTGGAATTTATTGGCATTTGCATTTGTGTGAGCGAATGTTAGAAATTTGTTTCATTAAAACGCTAACAAAATGCTATTACAACGTTTCTATTTTTTTTCATAGCTGCTGCTCTTCTTCTGCGTCTGCGTCTGCCCCCTCCTTGCTGCTGCTCTCTTTATATCTGCATTAATCCAATTTATCGTTGAATGTTCCCCCGTTCGAGCCCCGCACAGCCTTCGCTCGCCATACACCGAGTGCTAATTGAATTAGCGGCTCTTTTAGACTGCGATGCCAGCAAGAAACTCTTAAACAAATACATATATATGTATGTATTACAAGCTATGCTATATTCTATATCGATGTATAACTGATTGATTGGGGATCTGCTGAAAGAGTTTACCAACACTGCTCAGCCTTACGTTCAGCTGTAGCTCTGTTCTAATTGACTTAGCTCCATGACCGATGACTGAATCAGTCAATTAGCTCTGAGAGTTTTGCCTGTAACTGTAAATCTACTCGCATTTGCAGTTAATTCGATTACTCCATATTAGCGCGACCCTTTCGAAAACTCAATTTAACGTTGCAAGCATAAGGGCTAAGAGTATAATATATATAAATATATGCTATATGCATACGTATATAGAAATATTTATATATGAATCAAAAGCAAAGAAGAAACCAAAGACAAAAAAACAAAAACAAAATAAACAAACAAAAGTGTGTAAAGAGTGCAATGCCAACAAATCATACGTAGATTTCTATATTTACATATGTACATAAATATATATATGTATGTATATACATACATATATAGAGTACTTAGATGGGTTGGCTTTTTTAGCTTTTTAGCTCATTATGCCAGCAATTTTAATGGCGCCAGCGCAGTATGTCGGACACCTGACAATATGAATATATACATACATACATACATGTATACATACATATATGCATATGCATATGTTGACCGATATTTGCATTGATTTACACTTATGAATGAATATGCTCGTCCGTCTCTAGCTGCGCTCTGCACTGGGCACTTTTTAGGTTTTAGATTGCTGCACTCCTTACAGCTCGCCGCCGGCTAATAGCCACTGCGCAATGCCCGTTTTCAGCTTACAAATAGCTGAAAACAAGCCAAATCCAGCCGTTCACTACATCAGCTCGAAATCTAAATCGTTAATTTAAGGCCAAAGTTTTTGCAATTTTATAGGCATGTCAGAAACCAATATGCCCCATTTCTTACTTAGTGCATAACTCTTAAGAAGCAGCACAAAATGTAATGCAAAACACTTCTTCTTGTATTCCACTTTCATTCCATCTGTTGCTCAAGCGAAGATCAGCAAAAATGCAAGAATTGCCTTATTTATTTACACTTTATATCAATTGATCGCTTATCAATCACATTTACTTATTCACTTTTTCGTATATATGTACGTATGTATGTATGTTTGTAAGCCTCGGATATTACAGAAAGACTTTGTTCTTAAATTGAGAATAGTTTCCGCTCAGTTTTTCATTCAAGAGAATTAACATTTGCACGCTGTCATCGGCGTCTCCTTTTCTTGATTCTGTTCTCTCTTGCTCTCTTGCTCTCCCTCACACACTCGGTTCGCTTGCGGCCTGTGACCGTTTTGTTGCTGCCCACATAAACTAACAGAACAACAACAGCAAACATTTGCACATGCTTGCAAACGTGTGAGTGCTAGCACGCTAGTGTGCGTGTTTATGTGTGTGTGTGTGTGTGTGGACTGCACTCACCTTCTGCTTGCGACTCTGATGGTGTCTCAGCCTCTGCTGCTTCTAATTCTTGCACAGCGATCGGCGCGAGGCAACGTGGCTGCTCCTGTTGCGCTTGCTCTGCCGCCTTTTAACAGCAGCAGCGGGAGCAGCGACGACAACAACAAAGCCCACACAGTCCCACGGAACAGCAGCTGCGTTCAGATGCTGCTGAGAGGATAGACGCCGACGTCGACTTCGGCAGCGCTGCTACGCACACAGCAACAACAGCAGAATGAGAAGAAAACTAAATTTGTTCGGCGGCTGCTGTAGCTGTTGGCTGCTTCTGTTATTATTTTTGTTGTTGTTGTCGTTCTTCGTCTCGTTGTTGTTGTTGTTGTTGTTGTATTGAATCCGGTTTTAAATTTCTTTCGACTTGGTATTTCTTCTTATTTGCTTGTACATCAAAAATTTGTTTTTGCTGCTTCTTTAGGTTTTCCTTTTACACGCTATATACACACATGCAAACGACATGTATGACGTATGTGCGTGCGTGTGTGTGTAGCACTTCACGTGTAGCGAAATTAGCAACAAATGCACTTGAAACTATATTTTCATATATAAAACACTGCGTTTCGATCGCAAAAATAAACCAAGATAAACAAAAAAAAAAAAAAAAAATTCACACACGAAAAAAAAAACTAACACAAATGTGTTGTTGTTGTTGGTATTTGTCCTGCGGGCCACGCGGACCGCCAACAATGTTAAGACAATTAAATGATGATGCTTTTAATTTGGCAACTCAGCAATCAGAACGAAATAACAATAGTGTTAACCGTTAGCGCCTAAAATCTATCACGCGCGCCAAACTAACAAGAAAATATTTACGCAAACTTTGTACCGTTTTACAAAAAAACAGCTAACAGCGACGGCGACGAACATGTAACGCACGCGTTCGCTTTGAATGCCGGCAAAAGACTAACGTCGCACTCTAACAGACAGTCGTGAGGTTGACGACGCGCTGTTAACCGAACTGGCCGGGCTTAACAGCGCTGTTGTCGCAACATGTTGCTGGCTGATTCTGCACAGTGGCGCGAACAGCCACGAAACGGAACGGAGCAATCATGCTGCTGGACAATTCAATTGATTTTAATTAGATATATACAAATAGAGATTTTCTTCGTAAATAATTAAATGTTGATGTGCTTAAAAGTTTTTATTTGCCGGTTTGCTTTCAATATAAATTCTACAAATAATGATAATCATTTAAATAATAATTGATAATGCTTCTATCTCACTTATCTAGTGTGACTTTAATGCGCATTGTTTCTACACAATTATTTTCAGTAATTTGATGCAGTAGCCATAACAATGCCTTTATACTAGATAATAAGCCACTGAATGAGCATTCATACGGCAATTGATTCCCACAAATAAATGGGTAACTCAAGTACATGCCGGATGTATTCAGTAATCGCTGTAGTTCTGAGCATCCAATTCCACCGTGCAACGCACAAATTATTGAAGCACGCATGCGCGCATGTCACTGTCTGTTGTCGTCGGCATGCAACATGTTTGGACTGTAAAGTAACAGGTGTTTACAGCAACATGTTCGCTGGCATCCCAACGGTCGGCACACATGTTCGTTCGCTCATAGGAGCCGATGCGAAATGATATACATAGATTTCAATATAGTGCGTAGCCAGAGCCAGAGCTGATAATTAATTTAGTTAAGTTGCAATCTTAGCTAAATTCATTATTCAACTTGGCCCCAGGTGCGCCGGCGCACCAAACAACAGCGAGCGAGTGCGAGCAAGATGGATAGATCTATGTATCTCCTCGTTTTGAATTTTTCTTTTCTTTTTTTTACGTTTAATGATCCGCTCGGGGCGCGTAGCTCGGCGCGTTTACTCAGCATTTTAATGAGTCGAGTCGATGTCGCATGATTTCGTTTTGCACTTGACTTTGAGCATTTGAATAGACATAGACAATGTGAATACGACAGAGTGCAGGGGCTCTGACTCTCCACATACACATATTTATATGTATGTAGATATTGTGTAATTAATAGTTGTTGTTGCTATTGCTGCTGCTGCTGCTGCTGCTGCCTGCTATTAGCGCTGGGCAATGCATTTCAATGTGCTTGCGCACCTGCCGCTGCCTCTGCCTCTGCCGTGGCCTCTGCCTCTGCCGCTGCCGCTGCCAGCGTTGACGTCAACTATTTGTTGACCTTGAGCACGGCCCAAACTTCAATGTCAATGGCGCAAGCCGGCGAATTTTAGATTCAGATTTCGTTGATTACTTCAGTTGTTTGACTTGCGCTTCAATTATTTGCTATTCATTTGCAGCTGTTGTGCTCGCTCATAAAAGTGAAATGAGCATATTGGTTTTGTGCAATGTCCGGCCTGACCGACCTGTCGTCTGTCTGTGTGTCCATCCGTCCATCCTTCCACTCGATCGTTCGTCTGAGACTGGAATATAGACCGTGCATGAGTATTCTGCAGTCGGTAACGCCCGACGTACCTACTATGCTTACTTTATTAATACTAGAAAATACAGGGTATACTCAGCTCAGTCAAATGATTTGAAAGAGACAAGCTAAGGGGTATTCATTTTAGATTCTGCTCTCTCTACATACTATTTATTGAAGATTTACAGGGTATCTCTTAGTCGTTCTATTACATGGCAATTGCCTTTTTGGCTAACTCCAAGTGTCAATGGCGTTGCATTTTAGCCAACTGACAGCCGAGTGCAGCCGTTGACAGGCGACTGCAGCTGAGCAGGAGGCGTGGCACGGCATGAACTTGCTCAAAATTGAGTGCAAATTCTTGTCCACTTGCAGGCAATCAATCAAAGCTCATCAATCACGGGCGCTCATTGGGCAACTGCAGCAAGTGCCGTTACGAGCTGAACTTTTCAGTTATTTATTATTATTATTATTTTTATTTACTTCTTTTTTTGACTTCATGCCGTTAATCCGTTATGCAGCAGCAGCTCACCTCACAAGTGTGTGTGTGTGTGTGTCGTCTCATTAACATCAAAAGCATTAACATTTGGATGCAGCCTAGAAAGTCAACCCTCTCTCTCCACACACACACACACACACACATCGAGCAACAGCAGCTACATGCATATATGTATATTTGTGTTTGTGTCTCTAAGTTTATGTCTCTCTTACCCTCTCCCTCTGCCACTCCCTCTCTTCATCTCTTTTAGTCTTCTATCTATAGTCAGTGCCGCCGCCTCGGCTGAACGCGTGAGGAACGGCAAAGTTTCAATTAAAACTCAAGAACAACCGAAGCTGGGACGCAGTGCGTCATGCTACGCTTGCCAGAGTTATTAAAAGCAGCAGCAACAACAGCAACAACGGCAACAAAACCAACAGCAAACAACAAGTCAACAAGCCAAAGAAGCGTTGAAGAGTAAACAGAACAACAACAGCAACAACAACAACAACAAAGTGGAGGCAGAGCAAGAGCGAGAGAGATGGAAAAGTTTGAGCTAGCACCAAAACTCATCAGCAAATCACGTTAATCAGTCAGAGCGCCAAGTTCTTAGCAGAGGCTGGAGACGGAGTGAGGGAGGGAGGGAGCGGCAGAGAGAGCAAGTGAGAGAGGCGTGTAAGGTAGGTTATAGTTAAAGCTTTTGGGGCCAAAGTCTCTGTTGGCTGCAGCGGTAATGAAGTGCAGCCAGGCGAGGCAGCGCCAACGAGCAAAGCATTGAGTTTCTGGCCAAGCCACAGCCAAAGGAAGAGCGAGCGAGAGAGAGAGAGAAACACAACGATCTGCATAAGCCAGGCCTAAGACAGCAGGAAAGAGCGAGCAAAGTGCCAAAAGTGGTTTGACTTTGACTTTGGACTTGGACTTTGATTTGAGGCTTTTGCTTTCGTTGCCAGCCGCCGCGGCGATGCAAATGAAAGAGAGCGGCAAAAGAGCCGATGGAAGAGTGGAAAGAGGACGGGCAGGGACGGGGAGATGGCGCGGAAGGAGCAGCTGAACACGATGCTCGGCATGCGAATAGCCCCGTTCGGCTGGCTGCCTACCAAAGCGTAGTTGACTCTTTAATTGCTGTAGAAAACTGAGATATTATCGCCAAAGTGGAAACTAAACAAATTTGCGTTAGATAAACTGTAAACAGAGCTCCTGACTTATGCGAACAGCACAGGCAAACACTTTACGAGATGCTAGAACTTAATCATAATATCGCACTCAAAAGTTTTTGATTAGATAAAGAGCTTTACGACAGAAGATGGAATAATATGGTTGCATACTAAGTGCGTAAGACTATGAGAGTAACTAAAATGTTACGATAATAGATTTTTTTTAAAAGCTCGCCTGAATGTGTTTATGTACAACACTGTAAACACCAACTGATTTTATAATTAACTGATTTAAATACTTAAGAAAAAAGAAAAAGACTTTCATATCTCTGCAAAGCTCATTAAAGGTTCAAGAAAGCTTATGGATTTGTATATTTGTATTAAAGTAGATGAAAGCTTATGGATTTATGTATTATTATGTTATATTATGTATATTTGTATTAAAGCTCGCTTAAATATTTTTATTAAAATACAAGAGATCTGTATATATGAATTTATTCAAAAATGTGCACTACATTGCTGCAATTCGAAAGTTAATAAAAGCTTATACAAGATTTGTGTAAGCCTTGCCTAAAAATTTTTAGTACAAAAAAATAAAAATAAAAA